ATCCACGTTGTGGATAATCACCAACGCAATTCAACAACTTTCAGGGCATCTTTTAATATAATATAACCTATATACTGCATCTATATCCAGAATTGCCAGATCTCTTGTCGTCTAAAGTTCGATATACATGTTCAATACACACACACACACACACACACATATATATATATATATATATATATTAGCAACCAAATTCTCCTACCTTTCTGCTCATTACTCCGGTGATGCCACTTTTATCTTCGCCTAGGCCCGAATTCCGGCCTGTCAATAAACAATTTGGGCTTGGGCTTAACATGGTAGGCTGAGTGGAACTTATGACCCACAGCTAGGGATAACGTTTTCCGCCTTCCCATACGCCCTTCTTTCCGATGAATTCCCAAAAAGAAGGGAGAAAAAAAAAAAAAAAAAAAAAAGAGCCGAGATATTATGGGATTACTCATTAAAGTGTGAAGATGCGTCACAATGGTACCTTTCAAAGGACCAAATCAACAAGGAAAAATGGATGAGTATGGGACCAGCCGATCATGATTACATGGGCAAATTCCATCATGAAGGAGTCCCTTTCAATTATAAAGAGATTATGCCTTGATTAACTACAACACACTGTTTTTTTAATTTATTTTTTATATTTTTAAATACAATGGTTCTAGAGAAGCACTAAATATGTGTAATGGCGGGTTTTTTTTTTTTTTTTTTGGGGGTTTTTTTTTTTTTTTTTTTTTATAGGATTAGAAAAAAATAAACTACCCGTAATTATAAATTTTTAGCCCTTTTTTTCATTTTTTTTATTAATGATAAAGAAACTTTATTAGAGAAAGTCTTATTTTTTTATATGAATAAACGATAAGAAATTATCTAGCCAATAATAAATGTTATATATATATATATATAAATAAACCACGATTAAGGTTTTAAAAATCATATTGTGTTTGCATTCATATTGTTGATAATCGTTAACATTTTTTTTACTATAAATGTTGAATTAATTAACTGGGATGAATTTGAGCAAAATTAGAATCTCGAGGTAAGTGTTTCTTTCAAAACATCCATATAATATGATCTCATCATTTTATCGATTCGAGTTTAGAATTTAAGTTTTTTATAGTAAAAAATTCTTAAAAACAGTTACATTTAACTTTATTATTACAGTAAAAAACTCTTAAATAAAGTCACATTTTAACTTAAATTAAAAAAATCGAATTAACGAGCTCTATATTTGTTTCACTATCCCAGTTTGAAAGGAGAACCTCAACTTTTGGGCGTGAAATTAATAACTATAATTGCCAAAACCAAAAGAGTCCCTGAGAATGTTTAGTCATGTGGCTTATGTAAACATCGACAACTGAACGGCTTGCACCGACGTAAACGGAACGGAGATCAAATCATGGCTGAAAAAAAAAAAAAAAAACGCAGTATGAACGGTGTATTGTTGTTGAGTCAAAATTCGTTGTTCTTTTTTTTTTTTTTTTTTTCTATTTTGTGGCTATTCTTTCAATTAAATTTTAACATTTTATAAATTGCTTAAATATTTTTAATTTTTTGTTTCTATTTATAATTTATATTTTATATAGTTAAATTTTTAAATTTAAATAATATGACAAATAATTTATAAAAAACAGTCATTGAGACAGAAAAATAGAATAGCATATTCTCCGTTATTTTCTTATTCATGGTACAAATTGTTGCGTTATCATTTTCTATTATTACTTCATAAAATCGTTAATAATACACAAAATAGTTGAGATATAGAATTCTGATCGCAACTCTTACATTGCATGTCCCTAATTAGGCTGCAGTATCCATCGTTCAATTTTACTTCTTTAGCTGTATTAGTTGATCTTCTAATCATTTACTTAGACAGACTAACTCACTTTTATTATTGGGTTTTGAGTTGTCATATTAAGTTAAAACTACTATATACGTATCATTAGGAGGCGAGTCAACTAATAATTTTATACTTTAACATTCTCATTTACGTGTAGACTAGATAATAAGCAATCATGTGAGTAAATTATTTAAAAAGTCTAACACGTGAATCTTTAATAATAAGCCCGAATTATATTAAAGACCCAACAAGTGATAACAATTTAAATGAAAATAAAGAGTGTAATTATATGAGTTTAAACTCAGGACATCCATCTCTGATACCATATTAGTTTACCAATCTATCTCAAAAGCTTAAGCTATTAAAAAATAGATCAATAATAATTTTATACTTTAACAAAAATAAATTTTTATGGATCCGATTTTCTTTCATTTTGTATTTTAACTAAAGAAAAAAAAAAGCTTACTACGATTGGATCTATAGGTGGATTTTTTTTTTTTTTTTGGATATTAAGTGGATATGATTATTGTAATGTTTACTATAGGAAGGCGATGAACAATAAGAAGCATATGTGCAAAAACAAAATTAGGTTATAGTAGGACCATAAACAATAATCACATGCAGATACAAGGAAAAAAGCTGACGACTTTTGACACTTGTACGTGCCACGAACTTAAACTCTATTCGTTATTTATAACCGACATAAGCAAGAAAAAAAGTTCCAGATTTAGTACAAATATATAATTATTATTTGTTATTTTCAAATGTTGCTTTCTTCGGTTCATGTCCATCTCCATCCACAGGTGTACCGACACTTTCGCTTTAAACAATTACAAGAGAAAATACGTTAATTTTGTATACTTATAATATATTTTTTTATAAAAAATTTAAATTTTAAACGTCTAAATAAAAAATTATAATTTGAGTATATTTTTTAAACGGGTCTTGAATATTATCATTGTGATTCACTCATTCAATTTGTATTAATTTAAACTGAAGATTGGATATTATTATTATAGTTCGCTCATTCTGTTTGTGTTAATTTGAATTGAAAATTTAAACTGTGTTTTTTAAGTTATCATTTAAATTGATGTTTATGTGCAATTAAAGCATAAATTTGAACATATAATAAAATTCAAATTTGTGTTAAAATAACTATAGAGAGTTTGGTTAATAGGCTGATTTTTACTATTTAAAAATAGTTTGAAGTGTCAAAAAAAAAAAAAAAAGGAGAGGTCGACAGTTCAACTCAATTTGGTTGAACTTTCCAAATAGTTTGAATTATTGATATGCTACAGTTTAAATAATACTCACTATTCAAATTGAGTTGAATCGGTAAAACATGGGACTGTATTCATCAAGCCACTTCTCAGCGTATGTTTATAATCTTAAATCTTAAAACTTAAAAAGATAAGGAGCCAAAATGAAGGAACCAAAATAGAATAAACAAGAAAGTGACCATGAAATTATTACATGGATAAGGTGTCACGAACAAGGTGTGCCATAGTTTGCTATGAGAGACCAGTGTAGACTATTTTCAAGACTCAAAAACACATTATATTCGAGTAATGGCCCGCTTGTCTTGGGGTTTTAAGGCTCTTTATCCAACCCTCTATTGTACTTCTTTTAAAATAGTTTGACGACGACAGTGAAAGAAAACATGGCGTAAAAGGTGCACAGCACTGAATATCTAATTCCAATGGATACGCACAAAAGTTTACACATGGGAGATGGGGTTTCATTGTTCCGATTGGTCCAACACATTTATCTGTTCTTTATATAGAGTAGTGCCACAAACAAGATATATATCATCAATAAGGGCCCCTTAATTTTTATGCCAATTAATGTGATCATGCTTTGTTTTGTTGAATTATGTATTATTATCACATATATAAGAATGCAAATTAGGCCACGGTGTTAGTGATATATATTAAGCGTTAACTATACGGATTGGACTCGTGGTATTTTGATGCATAGCTTAGAAACAAAAATAGTAGAAGGAAAGGAAAAAAAAAAAAAAAGGATTTAAATGATGGGCGTGTGACTGTCCGAAGATTTTTTTTTTTTGGCTAAATAAGTTACAAAAGATATTCTATTTATTTATTTATTTGAAGCCATGGTAACGCCGCCTAGTTTGGTGTTAGTAAGAAAACTATAAATCACAAAAGGACATGTAAATAGTTGGATGACACATAAGGACATACACAGCATATGGCACAAAAACATAACCACAGACAAATCTCGGAACATGCATGGACCCAAAAAAAAAAAGAATTTTTTATGGTGACAAATGTTTTATTTTGCTTAGGATATGGCCATGACATTTTTTTTTTTTTTTTGCTCTTGAATATTGAAATAAGTTCATGGTTCTTAACCCAAAAAAAAAAAAAAATGAAATTATGATGAAAATTGTCAATGGAGGGATTACGAGAGCTTGGGGTTTTTTTTTTTTTTTTTTTTTTTTCATTTTTAAGGTGCTTCTCGTTGTCTTTCAGTTCGCATTTGATTATCAACATCTTCAAGAAATAACTTATGTTTAATTTCTTAAGAAAATAATAATGTTTTTTTTATTTATTTAAAAAGTCTTTTTTAGTAGTTGAAGTTAATGCACTTCAATGCTATACATTCGAACTCACACCTTTTTCTGAAGCATCAGAATACATATAAATGGATGTTCTGTATAGAAAATAAATATATGCTCCGTCTGTGAATCTATTATTGGTTCATAAATTTTGCTTTAATTCTTCGTCCAGAATTTCACCATCTTAAAACATTTTATTCAAACCTCTAGTTACGCATTAAGTAAAAATTAGCTGTTCTGTCTCGATTAACAAAGGAAAAGTGGAAAACTCTTTTTTTTTTTTTTGAATAAAATCTAATGCGAAATCATAAAATTAAGATGTTACTTCTTTTTCTGAAAGAATTATTGGTTGGTTAATCCGATACGAAAAAGCCTTGTAAACGGTAATAAAGATACTGTTTTTTTTTTTGGGTCATTTCCAGGAAGCTTGATTTCGTCCAAACAATCAATTAACGGGAACATTTTTCAATTTTTTTTTTTTAAATATCTCAATCGTTATTCATTTAAATAAAAATTTATATATAAAAAATAAAAATCTTGAAACGAAAAACAAAATTCAAATCAGACTTGCACTTGCTAACTGACACTGGCATATTTAATGGAGGGCAAACAGGTTGGTTCCAGAGCAGAGAACTACAAGCCAAACCAGAGCACAATGGTCTCAGTATCTTCACAGCTCTAGATCACAAACACAAAAACCATTTCTCCATTCTCATTCTTCTTTTCAAATTTCCCTCCCGTAATTTACAAACTCAGTAAAAATAAAAATGGAAACTCTCTCAGTTTCCAAGCTCCTAGCTTTGTTCTTGATGGCCTTGTTTGTGGGTCCGGAGCTCATGAACTGCACTGTGAGCTATGACAGGAAGGCTCTTCTCATCAATGGCCAAAGGAGAATTCTTATCTCCGGCTCCATTCATTACCCCAGAAGCACACCTGAAGTTCGTTTTATATATCTTACTCTTTTCCTGTGTTGATTTAGTGCTTTAATGGAGTTTCTTATGATGGTTTTTGGTGTAAATGTGAAATAGTTTTGGTTTTGTGTAGATGTGGGAAGATCTTATACAGAAGGCCAAAGATGGAGGCTTGGATGTGATAGACACTTATGTGTTTTGGAATGTTCATGAACCTTCTCCTGGCAAAGTACTATTTCTGGATCTCCTCTGTTCTTTACCACTTGGAATTTTGTAATTCGAAAAAAAATTATTTATTTTGATTTGTTTTAGTACAATTTTGACGGGAGGTACGATCTAGTACGGTTCATAAAGACGGTGCAGAAAGTAGGTCTATATGTTCATCTCCGCATTGGACCTTATGTCTGTGCAGAATGGAATTTCGGGTACTTACTTAATTTTATAATTATTAATATTTGTTTTTGTTTTCTAATTTTTTCTGTATATATTGACTTACAGCATTTCTAGATTTGACTATGATTCTCTCTTTGGCACAGAGGATTTCCCGTCTGGTTGAAGTATGTTCCTGGTATCAGCTTCAGAACAGACAACGGGCCTTTCAAGGTTAAAATCTTCTCTTGTAAAATCTTCAAATGAGAAAAAATAAATGATAGGGAATTAATGCTGAAAATCTTGCTCATTTTCTCTCTTTCCTAAAGGCGGCAATGCAAGGGTTCACCCAGAAAATTGTTCAGCTGATGAAGGATGAGAAGCTATTTGAACCACAAGGTGGTCCAATCATTCTTTCCCAGGTATGGCTATTCATATCTACGCCTAGTTTAACTATCAAAGGTCTTTTCTTGAATGCGGATTTGTCATCTTCCTAATCAAAAGGACTGAGTAATGGATTTGGAACTTGTCATAGTAGATCCTTGTTTGAAGATGTTGACAAAACTTGTACTGCACAGATCGAAAACGAGTACGGTTATCAGAGCCGGCAAACTGGAGCCATTGGCCATAACTACGTGGAATGGGCTGCGAAAATGGCTGTGGGGTTGGACACGGATGTTCCCTGGGTGATGTGCAAGGAAGATGATGCCCCTGATCCTGTGGTGAGAAATTCTCAAATTTTTCCTCCTCACTTGCAAAATAATTCCGCGTAATTTGCTCATAGTCTACTCTCAATAATGAGAATTGTAAGTTTTCAGCGCATTTATTTTGACAGATAAACACGTGTAATGGTTTCTACTGTGATGCCTTCACCCCCAACAAACCTTACAAGCCTAAAATTTGGACTGAGAATTGGAGTGGCTGGTAATAACTTGATCTAGTCCGGTACTTCAAGCGGTTAAAACTGAGTGAAGTGCAAATATTTTCCTTTCTGATTTCTCCATGTTTCTCTCCATCTCTCAAAACCAATGATTAGGTTCTCCGAGTTTGGCGGGGCAAATCCCCAGAGACCAGTTGAAGATTTGGCATTTTCTGTTGCTCGATTCATACAAAAGGGTGGCTCATTCATTAACTACTACATGGTTGGTTATTTTGGTCACTCTTGGTTCATGTTTTAGAGTCAAAAAATGTCCCGAGCAAAATTTTTTAAGTGTTCCTATCATGTTGTTTGTAACAGTACCATGGAGGAACAAACTTTGGACGCAGCGCGGGAGGTCCCTTCATTACAACCAGTTATGACTATGATGCTCCAATTGATGAATATGGTGAGTATTACATCAGGGGAAAATAAACTTATAACAATGAATTTGTGGGGTTTTTTTTTTTTTTTTTTTTTCATTTTTTTTTTTTTATTGTATCTCTAACATGGAAGTCCTTCTTTGGCTGCAAATAATAACCACTTCAAATTCGTCCAGGTTTGATCAGGGAACAGAAATATGGTCATCTCCGGGAGCTTCACAAGGCTATTAAGTTGTGTCAACAAGCTTTAGTTTCCTCAGATCCTACTATTACTAGATTAGGAGCCTATCAGCAGGTAAGACTGTCAATATTCATACTTTCTTTCTTCTATTAGTTGCATAATTAGGATAACCACAAAAAAGAAAGCCTCACTTAACCTTGTTGATTTTGCCAGGCTCACGTATTCAGTTCGGGGTCAATACGATGCGCAGCGTTTCTCTCCAACTTTAACTTTAGATCACCTGTTAGAGTGCTTTTCAATAACTTGCACTATGATTTGCCTCCTTGGTCCATTAGTATCCTTCCAGATTGCAAAAACGTAGTATTTAACACAGCAAGGGTAAGCAAAAAATGAAGTCTTTTCATCAACAATAACATAGTTTTCTCCCAACTTAATCATGAAATTCTCCTCTCCTTGTTGCAGGTGGGAGCTCAAACCTCACAGATGCAAATGTCTCCGACCAGTACTAAGTTGCTCTCCTGGGAGACTTACGATGAAGACGTTTCTTCAATAGACGATAGCTCGACAATCACAGCTGTTGGTCTTCTCGAGCAGATAAATATCACTAGAGATACAAGTGACTACTTGTGGTACATGATCAGGTGAGCTAGAGCTGAGCACTTAAGTACAATCTTATTTATGTTGAGAATTATTGTTGTGGTTTTCAATTTGTGTTTTTTGTTTTTTGTTTTTCCCAGTGTCGATATAAGTTCATCAGAATCATATCTTAAGGGAGGCCAAAAACCAATTCTTACCGTGCAGTCTGCTGGAGATTTCCTTCATGTTTTCATCAATGGGCAGTATTCAGGTATGCTAAAGACTATGAATGTATTATTTTTATTAAAGCTTATACTTTTGGAGATTTAACTTGGAAATTGCATTACAAGTACAGGCTCAGCCTTTGGGAGTAGGGACCAGAGACAATTCACGTTTACTGGACCAGTTGATCTCCAAGCTGGAACTAACAAAATTTCACTCCTCAGCATAACGGTTGGATTACCGGTCAGTTTTCTGCCCCGGACTCGAATTTTAAGGCATATCATCATAAAGGTTGAAATATCTAATAAGTTCTTTCAGGTACTGATTGAAAATTCTATATTTTGTGGTTGAAGAATATTGGGTTGCACTATGAGACGTGGAAAACTGGTATCCTGGGTCCAGTTTTGCTGACTGGTCTTGACCAAGGAAAGAAGGACTTAACATTTCAGAAATGGTCCTACCGGGTTAGACAAAACTGCCACAAATTCCCATTCTCCCATGTCCCTTAACCATCTTTTTTATATTGACCTTGCCTTAATTATCTTCATAACTCTCATAAATTGCTAAACAGGTTGGTCTAAAAGGTGAGGCAACGAATGTGGTCTCTCCAAATGGAGCCACATCTGTTGACTGGATGCGAGCATCACTGGCTACCGGAAGCCAACAGCCTTTGAGATGGCATAAGGTGGGTGCATTGCCTTTGTTATATAAGTCAAGAAATGGACATTTTAAGTTTAGGTTATAGCTATTTGCAAGTGAAAAGCTAAAAATTTCTGAGTGGAACACACAGTCTTACTTTGATGCACCTGGGGGAAACGAGCCACTGGCTTTGGACATGCAAAGCATGGGAAAGGGTCAAGTGTGGATCAACGGCCAAAGCATAGGAAGATACTGGACAGCTTATGCAAAAGGTGGCTGCTCTTCATGCACTTACACTGGGACATTTCGGCCCTCAAAGTGTCAGACTGGTTGTGGAGGACCTACTCAAAGATGGTACAATGCTATTTGCTCTCTATCTATAAAAGTTGATTACGGACAGTATTGTTTTGATCAGTTAGATTTTTAGCAGAGATTCAGAATATGCCAGTTTAACATATAACATACCAAATAGTTCAGAAACACGCACTGTGGATAAGTATACCCCAATGTAGAAAGCTCCTAATGAAGTAAGCTATATATCTTTCGGGATGGTTTTGCAGGTATCATGTTCCTAGGTCCTGGCTAAAGCCAACAAAAAACGAAATGGTGGTCTTTGAGGAACTTGGCGGAGATGTGACAAAGATATCTCTAGTAAAGAAATCAGTGTCAACTATTTGTGGCGATCAATTTGAGAACCACCCCAACATAGATAGCTATAAGATCGACAGCGACGGTGGATCAAGCGTGTCTAACTCCGCCAAGATTCATCTCCAGTGCGCGCCAGGGCAAACCATATCGTCCATTAAGTTTGCAAGTTTTGGCACTCCTTTCGGAACTTGTGGCAATTTCTACCAAGGCAAATGCCACGCGGCAAGCTCTCGTGATGTTCTCAAAAAGGCAATCTTTTTTTCCAAACAGATTCTTGATTTTGCTAGTGGCAAATTTTAGTTATATATCATTTTGTTGTTTGTTATCGTCTTACAGACATGCACAGGTCGTGAGAGTTGCTCGGTTGGCATATCAAGTGGTAACTTTGGGACTGATCCTTGCCCCGGAGTGCTCAAGCGTTTAACAGTTGAGGCTATTTGTTCTTAAGAGGGACGATGATAATTTATTTAATTCTTTGCCTACCTTGTTTGAAGGCAAATGAATAGTGAGAAATAAGAGTGGTGATATTATCACAGGAAAAATCCATTGAAATATTACCAATTGCAAATATGTAAAGTGAATGAATAGGCAATTCTTTTGCCTTAAGGTTTGATATAGAGCTATTATGACCTAATATTTTGTAAAGGAACCGATCTCTCCATTGAGTTCAAAGTTTGAATACAAAAATGTTTATTGTTGCTCTTTAACTTCCACTATTTTGTTCCATTTTATCCACTTTCAAAAGAAACTTCTGTATGCGCTTGTGTAATTCAATTAGTTTATTTTTGTTACAAACACAATCCAATCGGAGCCGCACTAAGTTCTCTCTCCACATTCGTTTATAGCAAAAATTCAGCGACTACTGAAACTGAAAACATCTAACCCAATTCTACTTAAAAGATGAATGCAGTTTCAATCACCCACCACCACAAGTCTGCCGCCGCACAATTCATCAACCGGACAAGGACCTCAGAGCAGGGCTTATAGAGTATCGAACGTTAAATCCATCCTCAAAACAAAGAAGAAAAGACATCCTAACTGTAGCCAACTAACTTATTCCAGCGAGAAAGAGCAATTAAAAATGGTTCACACAATAGTCCAAACCCAATATCACTTACATTAGACCAAATCTAAAATTATTGTCAAGTGATTACACATCTGTATCAAACTAAACTTATTTGACTAATGAAATGGTTGAGATAACAACATCCATAGATGGTTTCATGTCAACCAGATGTCACACAAAAGGGCTATAGAGTAAGCACCACATACATAGATACTTAAACATAGAGCATGTGTCTTCCAAAAAAACAACATCATAAATTATTAACAATCCACATAGGCAATCAAATAGCAGCGGAATGCTTTACAACTTTCTCCAGAAGCTCCTCTTTCCTAGCACCCACAAGCTTGTCCACAACCTTGCCTTCTTTCAGGAAGAGGAAGGTTGGCATTGCCTCCACTTCCCACTCCGCAGCAACAGGCTGTGCAGGTTAACCAAATCAAATGCACTAATTAGATCACTACTTCTTAACAAAACGCATGTCTTAAAGATTATTAACAAATGCTAAAGGAGATTCAAGAGATTAAAATTTGATTTTATTATTTTATTATTTTTATTTTTTACCTTCAACTCATCCACATCAACCTTGAGGAATATGACCTCGGGTGTCTTCTTGGCTAGTTCCGCCAGAATTGGGGCAATTAAACGGCACGGTCCGCACCATGAAGCGGTGAAATCAACCACTACCTGTGTAATTAAAGTTCCAAGAAGAAATTAAAACCCCCCCAAAGGAAAAAAAAAAAAAGTACGTAAAAACAATATGGAAAAGAAATTTCCCGATGAGAGAAATTAATTATCAAAATCAATTAGTAAAAAAAAAATCAAAATAAAAACAAAAACTTTGTGACCAAGAACTGCTCCTAAATGGTAGGCCTAAACCCATAATCCAGAAAGGTACATAATGCCCCCCCAAAAAAAAAAAGCACACATGTACATCCGTAACTACCAATGAAAAAACAAAACAAAGCAAATTATGTAAAATCTGTTTGGCCTGTGACGAAATCAGAAAAACGCCCAATATTTAAAATATTTACCCTTTTTTTTTACTAAAAAAAAGGGCTTTGCGTTACATAAGCCCGGATTATATGGCCAAAATAACAGATGCCCTCGATTGCAGATCGAATTGGGTAATAGATTTACAGCATGTTAAATTAATAAAACGCGATAGAGAAAACCTAACAAAAAAAACCCGAAAGAGAAAACCTAAAAAAACTTTTTTTTTTTCCCAAAAAAAAAAAAAAAAAAAAAAAAAAATTGAAACGTACCAGTTTCTTGGATTCCTTCCCCTTTTCGAAGTGCTCCTTCCACAAATCAACGGTTTTGACGTGGATGACCTGATTCACCTGGGCCTCTTCCGCCATATCTTTGTGTTGTGTCGTTCTGAAAAACAAAAAATCTCAGTCGAATCTCAAATAGTAGATTGCAATTCGCGAGCGATGTGAACGATGCGAGAAATGGTGCTTCCCTATATATAGCCGACCAAAACATTGTTCGGTCCCCTATTTGGATGTGAATTACCCCAAATGCCCTTTTAGGGAAGTGATAAAATGCACGCAGTTGCACCACGTGGTGATTACTGACGCGTGTACATATGTCAGCGATGTAATTACGAGATGTTTACTGTCATGTCACCGGTGGGTTTGAACGCAGCGTCTCGTTGAAACAAAAGATTGAGATCATATTATCAAGGTATATGCACGACCGAAATAAAATAAACTTTGCTAAAAAATGTGCCTTTGTGAGCTCCACCTTTCCTTCAAAACTCAATGCAAACACTGATGCAAAATACCATTTTAAAAAAAGAAATAAAAGGAATTTCAAAAAACTTTTTTTGTTTTCTCTCTCTCAAAATAGACGTGTAATGACACCGACAAACAAACAATAAACGAAAAATACCTGCTTTTTCTCCCAAAAATAAAATTCTCATATCTCCCAGAGTATTCCTCCAACGGTTACATTTCCCATCTCTCGCTCCTTCGTTTTCTGCTCCATTTCCGATCCAAAACCTTCTCAATCAATATCTCACCCTCTTCTCTCTTTCACTCTCTAGATTTCGCAATTATGAAGCACTTCATGTACCCAAGAAACGCGATCTTGAGGGAGATGAAGATGGAGTCTCCGACGTCGCCGAACCCTAGGGTAGCCAAGCCTTGGCTATCGCAGAAGCAGAGGGGCTCCAAGGAGAACGGTCCGCTGTCGGATCCGAACTCTTTGTGTCCGATTTCCATAGCCTCTACCTCTCTCTTTCTTTGCACTCCACAACGGTTTCTTGGGTGTGATTTCCATGCTTAGCCCTAGGTTTGGTTTCATTTCAGATTTATTTGTTCTTTCCCCTTCTCTCCTTATCTTATGATTTCTTTTTTAATTTGGGGTTTTTGTTTATTTTGGTTGAAAAAATGAAGACCCTGTTCTTGCCATTAACTTAAGAAATTGCCATTAACTTAGGAAATTGGTTGATCATAATCTCTCTGGTTGTTTTTAGTTTTTTTTTTTTTTTCCTTCTTGCTAATAGCAAGTCATAATCTCTTGTTTCACGTGTATATGGATGAGAGCTTCTGAGAGGAGGCCATTAACTTAGGAAATTGCTGTGAGTCTTTGCCCCCCTATAAAAGCGCTCTTCTTCTCTTTTAGGGTTTTCAATCATTTCTTTCATTTTCATTTCCTCTTTGGTGTAGGTAAAATAGAGAAAAAAAATGCCTCTTTTTTTTTTGTTTTTTGGGTTTTCGGTTATTTGTGGTTTTTCTTGGTTGCCTTTGATGCAGGTTAAAAAGCGCCCTTCTTCTCTTTTTTAGAGTTCTCGATCATTTCTTCCATTTTCATTTGTCTTTGATGTAGGTAAAATAAAGAAGAAAATGCCTTTATTTTTTTGGGTTTCGGTCATTTGTGGTTTTTTTTTTTTTTTTGGTTGCCTTTGATGCTGGTTATTAGTTCTTCATTTGAGTGAGTCTCTTTGCTGGACGATCCTTTTTTTTTTTTCTTGTTGCCTTTGATGCAGGTTTTGATATAAATTGTATGGCCTGTCGTTGTTGTTGCTATTGTTGCTGGTGTTTTTTGTTTTTTCCTTTTGACAGACGATCATGAGTTTTTGACAAAGTTTTTTCCTTTGGAAGTTCATATGAGGGATTCATCTTCTTCGCCAAAAGTTTTTTTCTAATATTATTTGCTTTCAAAACTCTAGTGGCATGTTTACCTGCGTGTAATCGGAATGAGCAGGAATCGGAGTGGGCATGATTCTGAGTGGGTAGGATTCGGAGTGAGAAATCAGAATCAGAATAAGCTGTTTACTTAGTGATAGGATTCAGAATCGGAGTCATTCTAAATCTCATTCAAACATTTACTTACACCCAGAAGCAGAATAAAAAAGTGTAAAAGTATTAATATACTCTTTAAATCAATTTGATATTTTCAATTTAAAAAATATATTGTGTACTTATTATATTAAAATTAATTATAATAAATATTTAGTGTAATAATTGTGTACTTATTATATAAATATTTAGTGTAATTGTGACACCCCTAAGTAGGGGTTACGCAATAAAAATAAAATATAACTCTCAAAATATAAACGACAAGTGCCCATGAGACTTTCAATGAAAAACTCATAATTAAAAATCACTAATGAACAAAGAAAATAAAACCAGAAATTCACAGTACAATGTAGCACCAAGTAAAATACTTAAATAATACAACCATCATCAGTCACATCCCTATCGAAACAACCCAGTTCAGAATCTTACATAATGGAAGAAGAATACCAAAAGAAGGGATAGGTCTCCAACACGTGCGCACTGTGAGACGTCTACTCTCGTCTGAAAGATTATACTGTACACCGCTTGGGAATGGGAAGAAAAAAGGGGTGAGCATGGAATGCTCAGTAGGAGGACTATTACTCACCTTTAGTTTTATTTATTTTTTTCCAATTAAACCTGCATGGTTAGTAGTTGTTATGTTTTAAGTATAATGAGTCAGATGATCAGTGTCAGTGAGATAATCCAATCCGTACGCTCGTGACGAAAAAACCCCCGAAGGGCGCGGTGATTCAGAGGCACTGATAGCAAGGAGCTCTATCTCGGGGTCCCTACCAAATCAGTTCTCGAACCACGGGCAAGGGTGAACTGTCGTTCCGAGTCCTCACCATGACGCAACCACTGTACAATAACCTTAGGGATTCTCAACTCCGGAGAGCATCATTACATCTCCACTCTCTTACCTTTTTGGGTCCACACCCAGGGATGGTGAACAGCCACACCTACTGTTAGCACACTATCTCACTATCGTGTCCAGTTTACATTCTCCTAACCATGCTTTTGTGTCAGATTCTAAACTTATGTCAAATCCCTTGGCCACGCTGTATAATACAGGACGGGCCCCCTAATGATTTTGTTTAAGTCATATCGTATAACAGTAATAAAGAAGTTTAATGTCCAATTTCATTCTCCTCATATTTAACAAAGCTAATTAAATTAAATAAAATTCTACAAAAGTTAAGTAATAGGACCCCTACCTCAAAACGGATCCCAGATTGTCAATCGGAAGTTGGAAAGCTGAGAAACGAAGCTTCGCCGGAATCCGGCCACCGGCGGCGGCGACAGCGGCGATGGTACGGCGGCGGAGCTTCCCGGAGAAGAATCCCGCGGCAGATTTGGGTCATACCCTACCCCCCCCTAAATCAACAGTTCTGAATCCAATGGCGATGTCAATTTTACCAAATTCGGCCTCTAACAACTCGGATTGAGATCCTCAATTCCGGCCGACTTTCGAGTCTTGAATCTTTATTTTTCAGCCATGGATCTTCAAAATTGATTTAGGGCTTTCATTACCCGTGAGATTCTGAGTATTTTGACACCAAGATCACGAGGATCCAACGGCTAGATCACCGGAACCATCCTCCCATTTTTCTCACAGCGGCGGCGGCTCGTTTTCCGGCAAGGCGGCGGCGGTGACCACAGCTGGTAGCCCAGAACGATTCACTGGCTATTTTGACACCAAGATCACGAGGATCCAACGGCTAGATCACCGGAACTATCCTCCCATTTTTCTCACGGCGGCGGCGGCAGTGACCTCAGCTGGTAGCCCAGAACGACTCACTGGCTCCCTCTGAAGCTAATGGGCTGGGCGGTGTCGTTCACGACGGCCGGAGGAGGGAAATCCGAGGGCGGCGGCGGCGAGAAATCCGACCACCACGGGCGGCGGCGCGCCGGTCAGAATCAAGCCGTGCTGCTGGTATGGTTTTCTTCGTCTCTTCGCTCTGAGTCTATTGGGACCGGAATCAACTCGATTGGACACCGGACGGCGAAGATATCACGATCGGAAGTTTAGGTGTTTTTCGGAACTTTGGCCGGCGAGTGTGGCGTCGTCCGGCGGATTTGGTGGCTGGAAGACACCAATCCGGACTCAGCTCGACGTGATCTTTCCAACGAGCCGGAAGGTGTCGAAAACGGACGCCGGAATCTCACCGTAGGTTGGTCGGCCGTACGTGGAGAGAGAGAGAGACAGAGAGAAAATGAAGAGAGATAGGGAAAGTGAGGTTTTCTGTTTTGGTGAGGATGAGACACGCGCAAGTGACACTAAATAACAGGTTAGGCATGCTAACTGTCAAAATTTTTATTTTTGACCCCCACATTTCCATTAAATTCGAATTCTAGCCCAGATTTTTAAAATTTTCACACTTAAGTCTTTAAAAATTACAAATTAACCCCAAATAAATTTTTAGGTTTTACAGTAATAAATTATAAATAATTAGGAGTCGCTTGTACAACTGCTTATGGCAGTTGACTAGATGAAAATGCACGTCACATTCTTCATTTGTGATTTTGAGGTAATTGGTAATGTGATGGAATTCCATGACTTTTTCAAATACATTAATTATGACAAGATTTTTGTAAAAATATACATCTTGGTAAGTTGTCTAATAACCCTTAATCTATATTTTCTTTTAAAAATGACCATTACCCGATAACAGATGATCTATGATAGAGCTTGAGTTGCTAAGAAGTTGGCTTTAGATTATATTAGTTTGTCTGTTGGTAGTTTCATTTACAAGTTTTTTAGTCTTTTAAAGTTTTGATTTGTTTCATCTTTCATGTGGTGGGACACTATGTATATGTGTCGTGAGAGTCTTCATAACACACGTTATGGTTCAAAGACTTGATTTTTGGGTGACTCTGTATGCTTCTCATCCCCAACAAACCTTTGGCAGCCAATTTACAGAACCAAACATTAGGATTGTAGTGTTGTGTATTAATTGTTCTCTTATTGCTCACTTAGTATTTTTCATTCTTTTTTATAAAATTTTATTTCTGATGCTTTTTTGATTTTTGCTTTCTCTCCCATTAAGTTCTCCATTCCTCTCGTTCTAGGAATAATGCTAGATCGAGGTAAATTCACTTGACTTCGTTTCATCTTCTGCGAAGTTATTTCTATTTGTTGGATTACGGGATTCCATGCTATTAGTTGTATGTTTCTAAATTTTATGTAGTCATGGTTTTTAGTTCCCATGATGTATTTTTGCTAAGTAGTAATTCTTACATTTGATGTTAAATGGCCTCTGCTTATATTATTGTTGTGTGAGAATGTACTGGTGGGTTGCTCTTTGAACAGTTCCCAAATGTTTCAAACCTGTGATTGCTCTTTAGTTTTCTTATATAAGTGACTTTGTATAACAGTCCGTTCATGCATCTTTCTCCATCTTCATCTTTACAACTTTCATCCCATCTTATGATCTTATTGTGTTTTTTCGTTTAGGGAAAGCAAAGAGTTCTTTTGCAAGAGGAAAACCTAGGTAGGTTCTATATTTACTCTAGTTGTCCTTTCACTATTGGGTTCTTAGATTATACCTCCTTTCTTGCTTGTCGCTTTCTCTCTGTTTCCGTTTGCCTCCTAGTTCTATGTTTTCCTAAGTCATTTGCAGTTCTGTCGTATGGAACTTCTTGAGTTGCCTTCTGATTGGCGTTGGTATCATCTACAATGGGTAAATTCGTATTATGGATGTCTGCATATTGTTTTATTTAGTTTTGTTCAATATATCTTCTCATCTGATTGCTCTTATTGTGTATTTAGTTTTGTTTAATATATATTCTTATATTCTTATTTGATTGCTCAATCCAATCTTTGATTCTAATATTTATTTGGTGTTTCCCCATATCATACATGTTGTGCTATTTGATAAAGCTCATACTAACATTATAATTTGATGGTACTTTAGGTCTCTGTATATCAAATTATCAATCATCAAAAAGTGAAGATACAATCACACTGTCTACTTGCAGTTAACTATTTCTTTCATTCAATAATAAATTAATCGATATATCATGGTGACTCATACATTGTGGCGCATGTGATAGATCAATAGATAATTGTTGGTGGCATACTCTATTAATTGTTTGTGTGTACAACTTGTATATTTGTTGCTGTCGTTGGATTTACCCCTATAATCAAGTAATTTTGTTCTTTGGAGGTCATTTTGGACTTTGCAAGTGGTTTTGTATTTTACTTGTTCTGTTGTTTTCTTATATTCCATGCTGTATGGAACTAATATAGTTGTTGTTGTCGTTGTTGTTCTTGGGTTCCCCAATGAATCAAGTTTTTTTCTTTTGAGGTCATCTTGCAGCTTGTTTTCTGGTTTAATTTGGTTTTTGGAATGAAGAAAACAAATTGGAATTGAATAATTGGGAATTCATGACACTTTTTTTTTTTTTTAATTAAGTGTGCTATCTTATTGGTGTTTTTCCCATAGATTTTCCGGTGTCCACGTTTTTTTTAAAAAAAAAAAGCTTCATTAGAGTGCGTATGTGGTGTCCGATTTTTGTCCGTTTGCATATAATTAGACATGAGATAGTTTAATTAGAATGCGTATGTGGTGTCTGATTGGTCCGTTTGCATATAATTAGATATGAGGTAATTTCAGTTTTAGTTTTATAAGTAATTATAACTTTTTTCACAAAAAATAGTTATAACTTTTAATCTTTTAAACTATTTTTGTTAAGTTAAAACTACAAAATAGCTAACAGTTGTAGGGGCGGAGGGCTCCAGTTGCTAACTCGAATTCACAAAGTGGGTTCGAGCAATTTTTGGGTATCTAAAAAAAACAAAAAGCTAAATATTGTTCAAAAATTGGCCTCCAAGGAGAGTCTTGTCTAGAGGTTTACTTAGAATTTGATTTTGAATCTTTGATTTTAGATAACTGATACCGAGAGAGAAATATGCTAAAAGTGGCAAAGAGCAAAAGCAAGCGCCAAATCCACACAAGAAAGGATGCACCAGCTTAGCTTCAACTTTACCTATTTGGTCGACATATTAACTACTGCATATTGTTTTGTCACCGCAATTAAACTTGTGCAAGCATGATTTGGATCTGTAAGGTAACTTTCATGTTCTTTTTTCTTTTTTCTTTTTCTTTTCTTTTTTCTTTCCTAGAGAAAACCGATGACTAATTAAAATTGAGGTTCTCATTTTAATGTTAAAGCTGTAATATAGTTTTTCTTTGTTTATTTAGGATTCCTCTGTTTCCTTGCTTTGGTTGGAGAAATTTTGGTTTGGTGGAGTTATTGGTTGTGAAATTAATTAAAAAAGGAAGGGCAAAAGGAAAAGGAACTACTTCTATTATTAGATTTTTCTGATTTTAAGTGTTATTATTGACGAATTTGCATTTTTTTCCCTGTTGCTTATCTAAGCTTCAACTTTTTAGATTTGGATTAGGTACTACAAAACATTTTGCCATCAAAGATAAACTTGGGCAAGGAGATTTTCATTCTGTCTATGAGGTAATAATATGTTCTTTTTGTTTGTTTGTTTGGTTTTTGTTCCTTTTTTTGAAAAGAAAAAAATAGCTGAGGCACTGGAGATCTTGTTTTTGTGCTTTAAGAGAGGCGCCCTGGCATGGATTCCTAAAGGCTAAGCGCCCAGTCTCTTTATTCCCTTGCCTAGTTGCCTTTTCTATTCCGAAAGGCTAAAGACATTGGTAAAGGCAACTGAAGAGTACAATAAAGCTCCATTGAAGTTCTTCTATCCATTTGTTAAACTAACTACTTCTTTTTCTCTTTTTTTTCTTGATTTTTTTCCTTGTGTTTATCATGATGAGCTAAGGAAAAGGGATGATGTAGTCTTAATTTTCTTATGCATTCTTAGAAGTATTGTCGCATGGGATTGATCTTTGTTCTTCTATGCTTAATCGTGTTTTCAAGAAAGTTCATTTATTTTTTGACAAACAAGTCATTGACCTTTGGACAGATGCATATGAGGCATTTGATTCCAAAACTGCTCAGACAATTACACAACCATATTTATACCATGGTTCTTGAAGGGTGAGTTCTTGCGTTTTCCCCCCTTTTTTAAAAAACCTATCAAAATGGATAAGGAAAGGGTTATGCAGAAAAAAAGTAGATAAAAGATATAGCTCCTAATGTGAAAAACATTGGTAATTATTAATATTGATAATCCAAGTTGCTCCTCGAAAAATGTTCTTTGGCTATTCTTTAAATAATGGGGTGAGTCCTCTTTAGTATTACTCATGGTTTTAGCTTCAATTACTACTATTACTACTGGTTTTAATTTCGGTGTAACTTCAGGTTGTACCTCCAATATTACTACTGGTCTTATTCGCAACATTAGCTCTCGGTTGTTCAATCATTTGATAAGCATAGTCATTCTTTGATAAATGATCACTGATTTTAGCTTGAATTTTGCATTGATTTTACTTATGGAATTCATAATCGTGAAATACTACTGGAAGATTTACGGAAGAAACATAGAAGAGAGTTTTATCAAAAAAAAAAAAAAAAAGAAACAAGTACTTGGTAATGTGAACAAAAAATTTGGTGCCTTGAAAATTAATGAGGGCAGTATTGGTATGTTATTTCAGTCAAAAAGTGTGTGCTGCAAAGTTTGATGTATTATGCCTTGCCTTGATGTCATTTCTCTTTTATCAAATTGATTCTTGACTATTGCTTTGTTGGTATTTTTAAGTGTTTTATATTACACTAATATTTAAGGTTCTTTTTTTTTATTTTTTTTATTGAATTAGCTCTTAAGTGTTGCTTTGTGTTTTTTTATTTCTTTTATTTTTGTGTGTTCTGTTTACCAAATAAATAGTCGTCTTTTGTACAGGCCCTCAGAGGTGCATGGGCATTTAGAAAGAGAAAGAGGTATGAACTATTATTGCTGTCACAACAATGCTCTGCAATTACTTTTTAAATTTTTATGGGAGAATGCATGCTTTATTTAAAAAAAAAACAAATAATGATAACAATCAATGACAAGAGTAGTATGAGTATTATTTGTGGGTAACGATGTGTTGCATATTATAAAATTTAATATTCTTGTATTAATTCTCTATTTGATTTCTCTTTTGGTTTCAAATTTAAGGAAATCATAATCTCCTATCGATAGTGGAGGCAGGCAAAATGAGGGTGGAGCATTAATTCTCTATTTTTTCTCCTATTTCAATTCCTATTGGTCATATCGTGCAAAAATATTACTAGAGCAGATTCGAGCATTATGGAAGGTCAAAAATGAGAATTTTTCAAATTTGTATAAAGAGGTGAAGAAACGATCCTCTTGAGGGTGGTACAGTTATTCTTTATATGTTTTATGCTCTACGTCACTTGTTTGTAGCTTTGTGTAACAAATTTTATCATCATAACATTTCTCTTCGACTCCATATTTCTTAAGCATATAAGCTTACTTCACACTTGTTCGATCATGAAGGAAATTCTCACTACTGTTCATTTTAGCATTCACGTGCTAAAATGAATCATGCATTCAATCAGTTACATCTAAGTTTCTTCCGTTACATTAAGGACATCTTATAGGGCTAGCTATATTTCAGCTTAACATATGAGCAAAATTTTACAACGATAAATGATTTTTCTTTTTTATTGAGAATTTTTTTTTTCCTTATCTCAGTTGCATCTGAGTTTCATCCTAATTGAGAACAAATTTTTTTATTGAGCACATTTCCTTATTTATGTTCTATTAATAGCTTGGTTTATGTGTCCTCTCTTTCTTGCTCACAGATTTTACCAAGTTTCCTTATGCTATGAGAAATGCTTTCCCTGCTATTGGCGATAATGAGATGAAGTTTATGTGCTCCAATGTGTCGATGTGCATTCTCACCTTGTATTTATTTCCTTTGTTCTCCTCCCTTTTTTTTTTCTCTCAATGCACTGGTATGCATTGTTTGTTTTTTTTTTTTTTTTTTTCTCTACTTGAAACTGGAAGTTTAACACTTACATTTTCTTCTTCTATTGTAGAAAATTTCCCAATTCTTGAAGCCACAACGAAAGCAAAGATAAAAGAAAAAACAAAAGAAACAAAAAGGACAAAAAGTTAGAAACGAAAAAAGGCTGCAAAAGAGGAAAAGATATAGTGAAAGGGAAATAATCATTTGGCTTTTGTGGCACATTCGATATTGACCGGTAGACAGTGGAATAAAAAGGGCTATTGAAAAGGGGGTTGCTAAACTCAGATGAATATGTCTATCTTTATTCTTTTGCACAATAGTTACTGAAAAATAGAATAAAGAATGGGGTATATGGTTTAGGACAGGTTGAGAAATGGATCCAAAAAGTGGAACGTGAAATGTAACAACAAGAAGGTTTGAATCTTAATAGAAAATCTGATTGCAGCAAATGTTAAAAGGAAGGCAGAGACAGAGGGAGAAGCTGCCCGTCCAGCATTGTACAAGGTACACTTGACGGATTTGGTGAAAACCAAACTATGTGATTGTAGACTTGTAGTATTCCTCTACTACTGTATGTATATCAACTGTAGGCTTTAAGTGTTATTAATTTCTTTTAGCTATCAAATTAAACTTTTTGGATGTAGTCTCTCTGTCTCTCACATTCAAATTTTGCTTCTCTTCTTTGTCACAGATTTTGATAAGCTTCCTTTATGTTGTGACAAATGCATGTTCTGTAGTTGGTGGTAATGAGATAAAATTTATGATGACTGTTGGTAGTGGAAAAAGTCACCTAAACAAGGTTTGCTCTTATTCCTTATTGAATCTTATATGAGTTTGAACCAATTGTGTATCCTAAGAAAAGAAAATAGTGAAGAGCAACAAGAAAAATAGAGATAACAAAAAGAAAAATAAAAAGAAAGAGAAAAAAGTAAAGGAAAAGACGGGGAAAAAAAGAAAAGGAAAAAAATAAAAAATGGTAAGAATGAAAGGGGATAAAAAGAGAGACAGAGAGATACGTAAAAGACAAATAAAAAAATAGAAAAGAGAAAGAGGGGGGAGGGAGGAAGGGAGGGAAGAGTTAAAGATGGTAAGAAGAACAACGTACTGGTACGCGTTGTTGCCTTTGATGCAGGTTTGGATAAATTGTATGGTTTGTCGTTGTTATTGTTGTTGCTGGTGCTGTTTTTTGTTTCGTTTTTTTTGTTTTTGTTTTGTTTTGTGTTTTTTTAATAGACAATTGTGAGTTTTTGATAAAGGTTGTTCCTTTGAAAGTTCGTATGAAGGATTCATCTTCTTAGCCAGAAGCTTATGATAATCCTTTCATTTGTTCACTTTTCTTGGAAAAGGTTTCTTTTCATCTCTTTACTCTTACAAAACCCTGCTTTTATTTTATATGCATGTGACAAATTCTAACTTTCGAAGTAAGTAACTTTTTGTTTTTTTGTGTAATAATTATGTGAAATTCTGAGGTTATCACGGCTGGCTCTTGGTATTTTTGCCTTCAAAATCTACGAGTCACTTGTACAACTACTTATGGGAGTTGACTAAATGAAAATGCATGTCACATTCTTCATTTGTGATATTGGGGTATTTGATAATCTTTTTGTGATGGAATTCCATGACTTTTTCAAATACATTAATTATGACTAGATGTTTATAAGAATATACATCTTGGTTAATCTATATTTTCATGAAAAAATGACCATTACTTGACAACAGATAATCTATGATAGAGTAGGTGATTTTTGAGTTGCTAGGCAGTTGGCTTTAGATTATCTTAGTTTGTTTATTAGTAGTTTCATTTACAAGTTTCTTAGCCTTTTAAAGATTTGATTTGATTTGTTTATTAGATTTTTTTTTTCTGTTTATTCGAATTGTTTGTATAATTTAATTCTTTAAGGTTTCTAATTGTATGTCATTGATGCAATTATCCCATTTGACATTTCTTTCTTCTAAAAATCTTTAGAATCCAAAATGGATATTTAGGTTCTACAAAGAAAAATGTGATGAATTTTGTGTTGCTAAGGAAAATGATTTTTATTAAGGAAAGTTATCATATTTTCCAGCAAATAGCAATATGGTCAGCTTCTAAATTTTGTTCCCCAAATTCTAAACTGATTGATGTTTCACATTTGTGTCTTTTCTTTTCCTTGCATGTTCAGTGTCAGAATCTTCATTATTACTAAAATTCCTAATCCTATTATGGGTTTCTAGGTAGTAGTGTGAATGAGGCCACCGCGCAAAGACAAGGATGAAGAAGAAATGATAGTTTAGAAAATTTCCTTTCACATTCGATTCAATTATAGACACAGAAGCAACACAAGTAAGGTCTTCATGATGATGTGAGTTTCATCGGATTCTTAGATGAAAAGTATTCATTAGATGATTGGGTTTGTTCAACTTTCTATTGCAGCTTGATATTATCCAGTTTGTGGGAGCACCTTTTGTTGAAAATTGTATGGCAGGTTTCAACAGTTCCGTTTTGTTGAAAGTTGTATGACTTTTCTCTTTCTTCTCTCCTTATCTTATGATTTCTTTTCTAATTTGGGGTTTTCTTTATTTTGGTTGAAAAAATGAAAAGCCTCTTCTTGCCTTCTCGACCAAAGAGTCATCCTCATTCTTGCTTTCTTCATTTCTTCATTTTTTTTTATTTCTTCTCCAATATCCTCCTTTCTTGCTTATCGCTCTCTCTGTTTCCTTTTTCCTCCCATTTCCATGTTTCCTTAAGTCATTTGTAGTTCTATCGTATGGAACTTCTTGAGTTATCTACTGATTGGCGTTGGTATCATCTGCAGGGGACATTTTGTTCTTACACATGGATGTCTGCTTATTGTGGATTTAATTTTATTTAATATATCTTCTTATTTGAATGCTCTTATTGTATTTTTAGTTTTGTTTAATATATATATATATATATATATATTCCTATATTCTTATTTGATTGCTCAATCCAATTATTGCTTCTAACATTTAATTGATGTTTCGCCATATCGTACATGCTGTGCTCTTTGATAGAAATGTCGTAATATGTTTCTATTGCTGGAGTGAGAAATAGAAAAGAAGAGAGAAATAGAGAGCTATACTAGCATTATTATTTGACGTTACTTTAGCTCTCTGTAAAATTATCAATCATCAAAAAGTGAAGATACAATCACTATGTCTATTTGTAGTTAACTATATCTTTCATTCAATAATAAATTAATTGATATAACTTGGTGACTCATACATTGAGGGGCATGTGATAGATCGATCATTAATTGTGGGTGGCATTCTCTAATAATTGTTCATGCATACAACTTATAGATTTGTTGTCATCGTTGGATTTGCGCCTATAATCAAGTAATTTTGTTCTTTGGAGGACATTTTGCAGTTGCAGGTGGTTTTGTATTTTACTTGTTCTGTTCCATGTTTAAGTATGCAACTAATATAGTCGTCGTTGTCGTTGTTGTTCTTGGGTTTCCCCCATGAATCAAGTTTTCTTCTTTTGAGGTCATCTTGCTGGTTGTTTCCTGCTTTAATCTGGTTTAATTGAATTTGGTTTAATTTGTTGTCAAAAATTGGCCTGCAAGGAGAGTCTTATGTGTATAGGTTTACTTAGAATTAGATGTTGAATCTTTGATTTTAGATGACTAATACAGAGAGAGAATTATGCGTAAACTGGCAAGAGAGCAAAAGCAAGCGCCAAATCCACAAAAAAAAAAAAAGCACGCACCAGCTTAGCTTCAACTTTACCAATTTGGTTGACATGTTAACTACTGCATAACGTTTTGTCACTGCAATTAAACTTGGGCAAGAAAGATTTGGTTCTGTAAGGTAATCTTAATGTTCTTTTTCCTTTATTTTCTTTTTTTTTTCCCCCTTTTTCTTTCCTGGAGAAGACTGATGACTATAATTAAAATGGAGGTTCTCTGTTTATTAGGATGCCTCTGTTTCCTTGCTTATTTAGGATGCCTCTGTTTCCTTGCTTTGGTTAGAGAAATTTTGGTTTGATGGAGGTATTGGCTGTGAAACTAATTAAAAAAGGAAGTGCGAAAGGAAAAAGGAACTACTTCTCTCATTAGATTTTTCTGATTTTGAGTATTATTTCTTTGACTAATTCGCATTTTTGGTTTCTTCTTGCTTATCATAGCTTCAACATTTTAGATTTGGATTAGCTACTACAAAACATTTTGCCATCAAAGATAAACTTGGGCGAGGAGATTTTCATTCTGTGTATGAGATAATATCTCTATGTTCTTTTTGTTTGTTTGTTTGGTTTTTGTTCCCTTTTATTTCAATTCGAAAGACAACTGTAGCCTAGAATAAAGCTCCATCGAAGTTTTTCTGTCCATTTGTTTTAAACTAACTACTTATTCTTTCTTTTTCTTTTTGTTTTCCTCAATTCCTTTCCTTATGTTTATCATGATGAGCCGAGGAAAAGGGATGATGTAGTCTTAATTTTCTTATGCATTCTTGAAAGTGTTCTCACATGGGATTGATCTTTATTTTTCTATGCTTAATCGTGTTTGTATGGAAGTTCATTTATTTTTTGGTCACTTTTTGAAATTAAGCTTCTATCTTGGTCCTCTCGCTTAAGCAAATTCGGGTACAAGTTTTGGGTCATTATCCTAATTTTCAATTTTGGTATGAAATTAAGAAGTTTCATCATTTTAGGTTCCCACACATCTTCGATCACCTAATCAACTTATTTTACACATCTCATTCCTCCTATTCTTCATTACAACCGGATTTGGTTTAATTCTCAAACTAAATTTTGACAGAATTTCACCTAATTTTCGTGTTTCCTGAGCTAACCATAGCTCGTTTTATCCGTTGTTTCAACCTTTAAACTACATCACAATCATTCTCTTTCCTTTTTATCATCGTAAACATCATAATCTCTAGGGCTTCTTCACTATTCTCACAAGATGTCTCCCTAAATAAAAATGCTAAAAACATAATCTAATAACTGAAAATTTAACCTTTAAACATTAGGTTTTTCAGTACCATTCATAACCATAAGCAAATCATCCTTCTTAGTAAAAATTTTCCATGGTTTCTACTATTCATGGACGTGCAGCTATGGTGAAAAACGAGAAGAAAAATTGAAATTTTACCATAGAAGAATGAAGAACAAGTTCCGGTGACGCTAATCAACGGTAATTTTCTACCGATTTCAATTTGAACTCGTTTTTCTCACTTTAAAAAATTTTCTTTTTCTCTCTTTCTTTGGCTGAGTGTTCTCCGTTTTCTTGCATGAAAATGGACATTTTTCTTGTATTTTTTCCTTATAAAAAACCGTTCACAAAAAGAGAGGAGGAACCTAGGTGCAATTTTGACACTTTTTAGGGTCTTTTTTGCAACAAAAATAAAAAATAAAAAAATATCACTTTGCTTTCTCTCTAATACTTGGCCGGCCATCACTCTCACTTTGCATGTGTCCTAATCTTAGCCTTCCATTATTTAATCACTTTAATCTCAACCATTCAATGTTAATAATTATCTTATTTTGGTCCAGTGTAATTCCTATCTGATGCGTATTTTACCCGTTTTTTTTCTAACAGTTGGTCAATTTGGTCAACTTTACTTAACCTTGACTAACTTTTTAAGAGTGACCGATTAGTCCACTCTTGGTCAATAAATTTTGACTCGGTCAACCCTAATCGGTCGAAAATTCTAATTTTCTCAATTCGGCCTTTCGAACCCATTTTTTCTTCCGTTTTTCGTTCTAATTGTTTCTAAAAGTCTTGAATTGATATTTTTCAATTCTTTTTATTTTTTAAACTTAATATTCAAGTGTTTGTCCTCTCGTTAGAATAACATAACGTTCCGTGCATCTTTCTTGATTACAGTATGAAATTCGGTAACTGTATCATAATTAAAAAAAATTGACTTTTAGCTTATACTTTACTATTCAATAGTGATATCAACAAATACTTATTATAAAAGTATTCATATTTATAATACAGAAAACTTTAAAAAATTTCATCTTATACAATAATTTTTTCGACAAATATCTTGGTCATGACAAAAGAAAAGAGAGAGAAAAAGAGTAGGAAGTGGTAGAAGATGAGGCTGAAAAGTATGAAAACAAGTGAGTGTGAGGGAGCAAAAAAAAAGGAGAGAAATTGGTAGATCTATAATAATAATCTATCTATAACTATATTAGAAAGCACACTTTGTTTACTGTAGCCCATCTCACGTTTTACTATTCAAACTCTTCGTTTACTTATATTGTCTTACTTCCATTCTTTGTTAAATCTGTACCTACTAAGTGTGGATCCATTTCTAACGAGGGAACCAACGAAAAGTCTTACGCTTGAGTAGGAATTCGCAAAACATTTCGTTGGCGTTTCACAGCCTTTTTTTGTTTTTTACTTTTTCTCTGTTTTTCTCTCTCTTCC